TCTTACAAACAGACATAAAAACTTAAAAATCTAAAACCGCAAAATAAGTTACTCCATCAAATTCCTATCATGTAAGAACCATTCATCCATTTATGTTGTCACTGTTTTCTCCATCTTATTCAACCTTAATTATGTCCTTATCCAGTTGGGCAAAGAAATAAGTTACATAGTTGTAAACACATAAATCCTTCATAAAAACTTGTGAAAGACTGAGAGGCATAAAACTCTTCCATCCAAATCAGAAAGAGGACATTAATAGTTATTCAGAATAAGCTCAGTTCAGGGATATTCAGAAGGGGAATAGGATCAGAAGAAAACAGCAGCTCCAGTAACAGATCAGGAACTGTGTCCCAAAAGAAAAAAAAAAAATCTATTCTCCAATTCAAAAAATATTTTTGCAGCAATTATTTTAAAAAAGCATTTCACAGCCAGAAAAAAACATGATAACCAGCCCAATTTTGTGTTCTGTGTTTTATACAAACTTTACAATCAAAGTCACTAACTTCACTCCACTCCTGACGAAGCTTGCAACATCACAGCTCTTGTACACTATGCAAACAATATCCATGAAGTGCCATGCTTTGCTGATGGTATTTGTTATTATTCTAAAACAAAGGTCCTTCAGAATTGTCATCTTCCTAATTTAACGTTTAATGGTCTGATTAATAAACTCAACACAGTAACACACAAGACAGCACAGTACTACAGCATGAGCAAAACCCAAGAAAGGAGGTGGATTTTAATAAACCAAGACTAATACAAAAGCAATGAAAGAAGTCCTGAAAATTCATTACTTAATTTAATTCACTGTGATATAAATTCAGCCTTAAAAAAAGAACATTACTATTTTAAGTTGCCCCATGTCACTTTGGCTTTCAAAAAAAATTTTAGTTAAGAAATCTGTATTTATGGTAACACAAAAACACAACTGCCTGCATCACTTCTTAAAAGCTTATCTTTAGTAACTGTCTTGAAGACAGCTAACCTCAATGAACACAGACATTTCCTAGCAAATATAACTACACATAAAAGAATACAGAAGATAATACAGTAATCATGCTCACCTTGCTTAAATTTCACAGGTTTTTTGGTACCAGTTCCACATACACAAAAGGGAAAGTCACCTGCATTTGGCTCACCACACTAAAAAGACAATCTAGCTGAAGAGATATTGCTGAAAACAACTGGGAAAACTGTATTATGGTAACTATTTGGGCTTGTTTGTATCAAAACATATGAAATCAGAGCAACCATCATTTTAATTCTCAAAATCCTGTTTCCTACAGAATTACAGAATGGTTTTATTTGACACGTAGATTTAAACCACTCAGAAATACAAAGAACTTGACTGTAGTTAGGCAAATATGGAAAAACATCTTGACATACGTCTAACTATTCACAAATCTCCACATTTGGCAAACAAAACCCACCAAGTCTTTATGCTCAAGGAAAGGATGTTCTAATTGAATGAAATAATCAGAGTTTGATGGAGTAAAGAAAGTAATGAAGTCTTCTTCAAAGGTATGAAAAAGAGGATAAAATATGATGTTGAATACAGTTTTCCCCTAGCACTAATGAAAATGAAAGGGTGCAGAAAGAAGATTGTACTGACTGAGTCTTAACAATAAAACTACCACTTTAAACTGCATGAGAAACATGCATAAGAAGCAGTACAGAAGTGATGTGCAGACACATTTATATCACTTATGGGAATGTTGATGCCCACCAATAAATCTCTTCCTTTGTTCCTCTACTGTGAACACTATGTTTAGAGCAAAAGGGATGTTTTCTTGTTTGGCAGCCATCACTAGTGCAGCAATGCTAGGTAGAGGTTACAGATCTGTCTGTAATCAGGAAAACAGCATCTGTAACAGAACACACTGCACTTCCAGCAAAATGCTTGCTGTGATTCCCCTGACCAAGTGTGGACCTTAACACCTCATATTTTACAAGGCAGAAAAAGCCCCCAAAATTAGCCCCACACTGCTGGCTGAAACCAGCATCCCAGAAGGAGCAAATACAGGTTACAATGAGTGTTTCCTTACAAGCAGACACAAAAAACGATGCCTGCATTCCACACGTTCTTCACTGCAGGGACAGCCACAGCAGGAGGTGAGTTTCAAAAGCAAATGAGTGCTGAAAACTTTCAGTCAAAAATTCATTGTAAATAGTTATAAGGTTGTTTTGTTGAATTACACAGCAATACTCAACCTGCTTCCAGAACAACACAAAACTATATAGTTCATGACAATTCTGTTGTTTCATCAAAGAAAATTCTCTTTTCCCAAGAAGTATCCTTTGTTCAACAGAACTGTTAATTAAAGGTGTCTATGTGATTCAGAAATGGAACTAAATGGAAATAAAATGTGCTTCAGAGGTATCTGTATGAATCTAACAAGAACTCAGACTGCTGTCACTGCCTATTAATGGCCCAGAAGTAAATTCTTTAAGTAGCTGTCATGGGCAGAAAACGTAACTGAGAACCACCACCAGAAGACAATGGATGCGTTTTTGGGTTTTAATACTTAAGCTGAGACTTGCTCCAGCCCCAGAGTTACCCCAAGAACAGGCTCTAACTTACTGCTGGGGGCTCTGCTGCAGGACTCCCAGGCTCTGAGCTGCCCCAGTTTTGGACCCCTCAATACCCAGGTCTTACCCTGGAAGCTCTTGGCTTGTAAATAACTAGAGAGTGGGCTAGAGAAGAAATGAAGATGTAAACCAGGTCAAGTATGCATTTAAACTGACATTTTTGTTTCTACTTAAAGCCTGCTGTTGTCCTTCAAGGAATGCATACATTCTAGCCAAGTATTTTCTTAATACATACACAGCCCAAATGCCAGAGATTACACATTCAACATGGAGAATCTAGCAGTACAGAATATTTTTCAGATGCTTAGATGCTAACATATAGACTACATGAATTTAAAAAAAAAGAGTGATTTCTGTCTCTTAACATCTCCTAACAGAAATTCAGCTATGGACATTTGAGAAAGTGGGACCTTTCAATAAGTTCTCTTGCTTTTTTATGTTTTTCCTAGGTAACACTAGTTACAGCATCCCAGAGGACTGCAGCTAGGAAGTATGAATGAAGATGCCTCCTTCAAGTCCAGTTACATCCCAACTCTACAATTTTAAAGCACAGTTTCTGTGGTTAATGCATTGCTGGACATCCCAGCCATCATGAATAAATGTTCTGTGTGTATGCTTGCCAGGAGAGAGGCATAATAAGATGGTGACAAACATGATACAGCAGCAGTAAATGAGTAATAAAGAAAACGCCAAAACAAAAAAACCACTGGAAAAAAAAACCAACCCCTGCCCACAACAAGGATCTGCCACAGTCTTTGACTAAATTTACTTGAAGAAGAGATATTTCTCTTTTTTCTGTGTTTTAAAAAGGAAATAAACAAAACAAATGCTCCAAACTACAGATGGTTTTACAATTAAAGAAGTGATACCTATAGATCAACATGACCTGTGTGGAACTGAAAACAGAACTCGATACTACTGAGCACTCCTTTGTAGGTCTGGAAGCAGATTATCCACTAAACTTCCCAAATAACAATTATTTGTGGACTAGAACTAGTAGGACAAAAGCTAATGTGCTAAAATAGAACTACTCTAATCATGTTGGACATATATAGACTCATAAAATATCCTGAGTTGGAAGGGACACAAATGGATCACCAAAGTCCAACTCCTGGCCCTGCGCTGGACACCCCAAGAATCACATCATGTGCCTGAGAGTGTTATGTTACTTCAAAAGCTATAGTGACTTTCAAACTGCTCCATTGCAAAAACAAGATGTTAATTTTCATTCACAGAATGACTTCTTTGGGAATTTACATTCTTCTTTCATTTGTGTTCCAAGCAAAACTTAAATCCAAGTTTATTTCCTTCCAGTTATTATCTGGATTCTGAGAAGATTTGCTGCCTTAGAAAATGTGTACTTGGCTAAAGTTTGGGGTTTTATTTGGATGTATAAAAGACATCAAAATTGGAAGCAACACATCCCTCAACAGGAACCATAGTCAAAGATAAGGAACTACTTCTCTGTGTAAGGAAAAATAAACCCACCAAACAATTTTATTCCTATTGAGTTTCAGGGTTCAGCACACACAGAAGGACTCTTGAATTCTCTTTAATGTTTGCACAAAAAAAGTCCCACATAGCAAGAGGCAGAACAATTCTACTTCAAAACCACATTACAGAGCCCAGTTAAACATTTCTTGACACAGTCAAACCTTGGCTTTCTTCTGAAGCATAAGCATGACCATGTTTAACCTGGTCCTTGAGTCAGATGATTGGTGTGCCCCATATAAACCTCTGACGTGGTTCAAGGACGCTGCTGAAGCACAGCAATGCTGGATGACTGCTGCCCTGAACAAACAGCTCCTCTTTTCACCACTCACTGTGCAAGGCAAGAGGCACACTTGAACATTAACTTTTTGAAAAGCCATTTTCTTTCAGTTCTCCCCATCTACTATTCTACATTTTCTTTCTCTCCCCTCAACATGCACCTGTGTCAAAAGAAATGACCCTTTCTTTTTACTCAAAGAGTGTTTTTTGATTGTCCGTACACATATGGTAGACTTTACGTTTGCTTTCTCCCAGTTTAAACATTAAGGGTTTTCTTACTGCTTCTGAACTACAAAAAATAAATAGTAATAAAAATCAATTATACTGCAGTTACTGATGAGAGCTGTCTAAACAGTCAGTCTAGTTATAAACAGTCAATGATGACAGACTACCATATGTTAAGCTTCCCAGTATTGTGCCAGAAAACATTATAATCACCTTAATTACAGCAACAGTGATTTTTCCCCTCAGTGGCGACGTAACACAACCAAGTGCAAATACTCCTCTTCTGTAGTACATCACTGTCTGCAGCAAAGGCCAGCACGTGCACATATTGTCGAGCATTTGTGCAAACACACCATGTTGCCAAGCACACAGCTAACCTAAAAGGCCTCAAAAACAGGAAAGAAAGCAAACTTCACCTTGTGTGTTTTGCTGAAATATTTTGTTCAGATCCAAAGAGGAAGCTCTGGAATGCGATTTCTGTGGCCTTGGAGGTGGAGTAGGGGGCTCTTCTCCCTTTTTCATGGCATCTTCTATTGATGTGCTAGAATAAGACCTAAGGAAAAACAGACAGGGGAAAAACAGAAAATGTTTTATTTCAAAAATTAATTTTACACAGCTACAGTGTTTAGTACCTAAAAATACACTGACCAGAACTCAGTTTGTGGTGGAAATTCCTTGCCCTAATGACTAGAAGTTCCCCCTTATAACAAGACAGATTTATTTGGCAACAGAGGGACCCAAGTGTCTGGAGAAAGAAACGAGTCATGCTTACAGGGCTAGTATTTTTTAAGGCCTTTTGTAACACAGCCTCAGGCCTTCTTATGTAACTCTGTCAACATGAAAATTGCAGCAACTGTTTTGAAGAAATCCAAGTAAAATTCCCCATACACACACCCCTTAGAGCTTCTGTTGCCTTTCCCAACTGCAAGGGGAGGGTTTATACAGGTATGGCTTCAACATACCTCTTGGAAGTACACATTTTGTAATTTATAAAAATTCTATTAGAAAAAAATTTTCATAGCATACAGTCACCAAATTCCACAAAATCCAGAAAAACTGAATAGCTCCAAAGTAACCAAAACTGGCCAAAATACATGGCTCAGTACACCTTTCCAGGCCCTCACACAACAATTAATCCCAATTAAGGGTGGTGCATTTGCTAAGAATTTTGATTTTGCTGAACACTGTCCAATATTTTTCAGCTGTTGTAGTTACAGTTCTCCTGCAAGGAGAAGACTTTGTTCAAAATGAGCACTGACAATGTGAGACGTTACACTCACTGTAACACATTATGCATGTCAGAGCAAGACTAAAAACACATTTCAGTAAAACAGAAATAACTCCCACTAACGGGAAACGGACAATATTTTTGCCAAACAGGTTCCTTATATCCAGTGCTGACTGTTCAATAAAAAGTATATACTGAACAACATCTTATTACCCTCATTCTCCAAGTCTGTCCATTTACGAGCCACTTCACACAACCACTCAAAAAAGCTGATGGAGATTGTCTGTCTCCCTGCTTTACCTCACACAACTTCACAAGACTTAGGTTTTTCCACTCCATTCTGAATTCCATATAAAATCAACATCTGATTTATTTTTATTAATTTTAATCCAACATCTTCACTCAGATCCCATTCAGGATTTTCTTTACGGAGAAGTTCATCAAGATTTGGTATTCCAAATTTTCTGATCTATCCCCTCAATTCCCCCCCACACTCAGTCCTTCCTTTTCTTTTTCTAAAACTGCTCTTTTTTTGCTACACGAATAAACAGGTATTGTAACAAAGCTTGTGTATATCTCCTCAGCTGGGGTTATGTGTCATCATCATGGACTTAATACCACTATACATCCCATCAGGACTGCTACAGTAAGATCCAGCACTCCGTTTCCAAGTCAATCAATCAGTTAGTAAACAGTACATGCACATAGATGGCTTTCCCAGCAGGTCCCACAGCTTGTCTTATAGGAGCCTTAATCACTCCATCGTCTTCCCCTAGTTCTGCCAGACACAGCACTGCCTGATTTACTTCCTTCTCTAACATTGCCTGACACAGGACTGTCAGATTCCTCCTCACTCACTGAATCAGTTTTAAGGACCTCCTGGAGGAGTCATCAATAATTCTATTTGTTTATCATCATCACCAAGTTTATTAGATTTACTATTCACATCACAAATTCTTTCAATGTTTTTACCTCTTTTCTCAGTTACTGAATATATTCCAATCAGGTGTTTAAAGTCCATTAATACACTTTTTTTAACATTTCAATCAATTTTTGAAGAGAAAAATAAATCCAGCTGTGGTATTTCATCCCATTTTTCAACAAGCACAACAGGTCTGAGTTCAAGGACGTGCTGAGGCATCTTTAGACTCAACTTCTGCATTGAAGCAGTGACACACAGTCAGATGAAGACAGTCATTCCTATGTGATAGTTACATTTAGGTGACTTTCTATGAACTTAAGCATTTGCTGTTTTATGCATTTTTGCACGTTTTTTGAGTATTTGCAATCCAGTAACACAGCAAGAAAATTTAAAACTGTGTTAACACTAAAAATCTTTGGCTAGCTGCAGAAAAACAGGCACATGAGGCAGTTCAGCCTTCCCATGTAGGAAGACAGGATTTCAATCCTCAATCATCATGCCTATAGCTGACCCTCTCTTACTAGCAGGCTTTGACAAGCTTGTAAGCAAGGAGATCCTGTTTATACTCTCATTACTCAAGCAAAAAAAAAAAAAAAGAATCCTCTAACTGGCACCAAAGAAGAAAAGTTTGAAGGTGAATTAACAATATGGTTATAAATCAGTCGTGTAGCCCCTGGTGGTCTAGTGAGTAAGGCGCCGCCATCACCGCTGAGGCCCGGGTTCGATTCGGTCAGGGGCCACTCCCGGGCAGGTGGGGCTCGTTAGCCCTTAAAGGCAACCCACCTACGTCCTAAGGACCTCGCTGCCACCGTCCAAGCTTGCTTGGCCCCGGCAGATGAACCTTAGGATTAAGGGGTGGGCTCAGTTCCGCGCACACTGTGTCTCACCTAAAAAATCCAATGCGCAGGCTGGAAGGTGTAAAGACCTTCCCCGGATCTCGCTCGCGAAGACTGGCCATTATTTTTTATTTTATTATTATTTTTTTATTTTTTTTTTTATTATATTATTTTTTTTTATTATTATTATTTTTTTTTTTTTTTTATAAATCAGTAGGTGAACAGCCAAACCCAAGATGCAATCCATTTATACACCATATTTTCTGGCACAGGTTCTCCCTTTTCTTTCAAACATCCAAGTTCAGCGCATGTCACTTATAGCACAACAGTGTCAGTCTGTAAGTCCTCCCATCACACATCAACCAACTGTAGCCAAGTACACACATGCCAACAAAAGGATTCACTCACCCACACCAGAGAGCTGAGCTACTACTGTTGTTTCTGTGGGAATGTGCAGTGTCTCCCTCCATATGAAACCACCCTGCAGGTTTCAAGAGTACAAAACTGCAGAGGACGTTCCCAGCAATGGGGTGCTCCCAGCTGTCCTGCCAGGAAGCCCCTGGGGCTGGGTTGGAGGCAGTCACCACCCTGACAAGAGAGCAGGGCTGGGCAGACAGGCAAAACTTCCAGCACCATATGATCAGAGATCATGGGGCCCCAGGGCAGTACTTATGTAGGGTCTATAGCTTACAGATTCCTCCTGGTAAATCTGTCTGATCTGAGCTGTACTTCCAGCACCACGCTAATTAAAAAAAAAAAACACACACACCAAACACACCATTTCTCATGCTTTGTGTCTAACACCAGAGGTGTTTATTTCTCCTGAAATAGAAGTGAAAGCAGTACCTGGATCGTGGTCTGGCTTTAAGTGCATTAGATTCCTGAGCAGCTGGAACAGAAAAGAAAAAAAACAGCTAAAACATCATATTTTAAAGAAATACCTTTAGCTGCAGAATCAGTGTTCACTAAAAACGTGAGTGTTGCAAATGTGGATGTGAGAGTATGCTCATCTTACATGAGTAATGGGGATTGATTTTCACTTCTCCTTCCCCTTTCCTTTTGTAGTGTGTGAGAATTCATAAGAATTCAAAAGCCCACATATAGGTAGAGCTTCATCTTTTTAACATGCTTACCAGAATACAGGAAAAGCAATAGGTCTGGTAGCTCTGACCTGTACTCATGGATATAGTTATGACAAACCACCAGAAGAAACAGCATAAACTTTTTACAGAAAGTATCTTATTTTTAGTTCAGATATCTATTAGTTGTCCTGCTTCCAAAAGCACAAATGTTTATGTCCTACCTAAATACCTGAAATAGTATAAATGTACATTATCTCATGACTCATTAAAAAAAACCTAACATGTCAGGTTGAGACTGTTTTGACATTGGGAAGGAAAGATATTTGAATGTAGAAAGCTTTCAAGTCTAAATGCTTATCAAACACATTTCTATCAATACAAAAATGAGGGGGTTTTATTTGGATGAATTCTGAATATCCTGCCACATGCAGGTCTTACGTGACAGGAAAACAACAGTGCTGATTTATCTTCTCTGGGTAATTCCTTGAGGCTGTTGCTTGGTTTACATTGTCTTTTCTATAACTCGCCTTACTAACATCAGATAATTCTGAGAAAACATATCTGCGTGACTGCTTTCAAATTCATCCCACTGAGATATCCTCAAGGTATTACAGCAGCATCAATGATCCCAATGCAACACAAAGCAAATCCCTTTATTTTTCCCCATCTGCTAATCAAGGTACAACACTTAAGAGAAACAAGTATGTTGGGGAAAAAAATAAATCTCAGTTTCCAGCTTCCTTCAGATATATGCCTATTTTCAAGTCAGACATTTAGCACCAGCTTCTATACGGCACTAGTGGAGAATATGACAGATCCTCCAAAACACAAGAGCAGGAACTATCGGTGGTAGCAGTTGGTAAATACTGAGTTTTTAATGGCTTGCACTGTAGTACTGCACAGACTCTCCATAGGAGGCTTCAGGGTCACAAAACACAAGTAGCAGCATATGGCACATGTACAGTCACACACGAGATCTTCATAAAAGAAACTGTTTTTAAGGAAACACAGTGTTAGTTGGTGCTTTGGATGGAATGAACCCAAATGCAGCTGGCAGTGACACAAATGTCCACTTATAAACCAAGATTATTGTCATGAACAAACTGGCTCACTGTCATTCCAGATTTCTGTGCAACAAACTCTTCCTAGCAACTAAAGGAGGGAGAGAGAATTAATATTAAAATATGCAGTGGTGATAATCCTCCTCCCTCTCTCTGTGTCAAACTCCCAGAGAATACAACTTCAGACACTGCTTCCCTACAGCCATATGACCCAATTTTCCAATGCTGAAATTGCTGATTATTAAATTACATGCACAATTATTAAATATGCCACTTAGAAACAGAAGTATAAATCCTTTCCAAGGTAAACCATGTTTAAAAACCTTCAGATTTTCCATTTCTTATGGAGACTAATTCTGTTCATACTTTTAGAAAATCTTTCATATAAAAACCCGTAGGTAAAACTGACATTCAAACTCTCCAAGGACATCCTGTTGAGGTAAGAGGAAAGCACATAAGGAAGAGAGAATCCCAAAATGACTACTAATAAAAAATTATAGCAATAGAATACTACTGCCAAGGATTTTCTTTTAAGTTTTTGAAAAACTAGGAAATTCAAGGCTACAATTAGAGAATACCTAGACTTAGCTTTACCTTTCAGACAAAGTAGAGTAATACAAAAAATACTATAAAGCAGGTAGTTCATTATTAGAACATACAAATAATTGTGGCAGGATTTCCATAAAATATGCAGTTATTTTGGAACGTTCAGTCTGTGCGTACTTAGTGTTTGAGGTGCAGGTTTATACACACACATGACATAATCATGCAAGACCATATAAAACTATTTATCCAGGTCATGACTTTTCCATGTATCTGTTACTAGGAATACATAAGCCTAACTTTCATGAAATGGATAAATTTAAACTGTTGAGTAAATAATTTACATTGATTATTCAAAAGTTTGTACGACTCCTGGAGTAGTAGAGCCTGGTGGAGTGAACAGCTTGGTCTGCAGTAACTAAAGTCATGTACAATTATGAACTGTATTTATTCACTCACAGGAGAGTGTGAAGGTTCCCCTTTTGGGTGTAGAACTACTCCTTCACCCTTCCTAGAATACAACTTCATTTTAGCATTCCTGAAGATGCCAACTCAGTAACTTTGGTTGTAGTCTAATATCTTATACTCAACAGGAAATCTGTACCATAAAAAGTGCAAGTATGCCATGTGGCTAAAGAAAAAAAAAAACCCCAAAGTATTCTTCACTAGTCTAAATCAACCTCACTAACTCATATCTTACTGGTGGCCTAGGGAGAAATGTTTAAACACAGTTTAAACACTCACAATTTTGGCCCTCAGTACTTAGAAAAGTCTAAGCTCAACAATGATCTTGCACTTCAGAGCCTAAATAAACTGGCCAGATATTCAGAGATGCTGAATTTATAAAGTTCTTACTGATTTCAAATTTCTAGACCTTCTGATTGGTAAAGAAAACTTTCACATAACGAAGCACAACGCTATTATCTTCCCTGAGTTTGCATAAACAGCCCAAATGAATAACCAAAGAGGTATGTAAAATTTTTCCCACTTCATCCCAACTGAGTTTTCATACTGAAGGTTAATGATTACAGTGACCTTTCAGAGTGGTGACTGATTCTGAGATTACCTCTCAATTACTGTGCTGCATCTAGTCCACCGGAGAAACATTTTTACTTCTCACATCAGTTTTAGTATGCAACCTGAGAATGTGCTTTCTCAAATCCTCAATGTGCAGGACAGCAAGAGCAGAACCCCTACAGCGGCAGGAGCCAGGATGGTGGAGTAAAACTCTGCCTGTCTCCCTTGGTATACAAACACAGCAACACTGCTGGAGTAGCACAGAGGCATCAGGAAGACCTCACTGACTAGCAGATAAAGGACACTGTGGAAAAGAGGTTGGTGGTAAAGGAGATGTGAAGGTGACAGAAGGTTTTTTACCCAAATGTACTGAAGATGGACTTGCTGAACTGAAAATAAAACTCCCCTGTATGCTCCTGGGCAAAACTGGGGGGAAGGAGAACAGAACTGAAAAGTCCTGCAACCACCCTCCCCTTCCCCTGAGAGGGAAATGCAAGAGCGTGTGTGTATGTTAAGGAGAAGCAGCAATCACTCAAAAATGGGAGCTGCAGATAGGAAATCTGGCAGCTGCCAAGTGTTTGGGAAGAAGCCAGAAAAAAAAAAAAGAAGAGTTGGGAAATGAGGCATGCAGCTGTTGAGCAGCCATGAAAAAATCGAGCTGTAAGACAAAACTGCTGTGACAGACATGTGGGGTCCATTTTCTTAATCAAGGATATCTTCAAGAGCAAAAACATCTACGCAAAAGGAAAAGAAAGCAAGTCCAAATTTTAGCTTGGTTGGGACCAGGGAGGGCTTACAAACATTCTTACCACACTAGGAAAGATATTAACAAAGAGGAAGGCAAGGGAGGTCAGTGGAACTGAACTGAGTGCAGGGGAGGTTTCTGGAGCAACTAAGTAATTTTGACATATGCTGTTCCAAAAATAACATTTTCCAGAAAGATAGGAACAAGAAGTGTATGTTGGAGCCGGAGAGGAAAATCAGGGTTGGATTCAACAAAGAAACACCCCCTGAATCAAAAGCTTGCGTCAGTGTCTTAAGTGCCTCCAGGTCTGTGTTTCCAAAAGCCTCCCTGTCCTTTAACTACTTAACACAAAGTATGAAAGCTGAGCTTTCAGAAAGAAAACAGGCCATTTCAGAATGTTTACTGAAACCTTACACAGTCATTCTATACTTTAAATGAGATTTTTACGAAAAGGTACAATATTCATGCTCTTGCATCTTGTTTGTAGCACAGAAAAACTTCAGACTCCTTAAAACCATTATGTTAAAATACTTCCCATGGATGTAGAGCCCACACAGTAACAACGAGGAAAGAAAGGAAGAAAACTTTTTGACAATTTGAAGTAGTAATTAATATTTATCTTGCAAGTTGTAGTCATTCTGAGGTAAAAGCTAATTTCAGTAGTAAAATGAGAGCAAAAGGTTCTTCCAAAAATTAATCTAGGCTTACTGTGATATAAAAATATTTAGTCAAGATTTTAGAGTAAGTAACACACGGTATTTTTTTTCTTACCTGTTTTCACAGTCAAGTGCTGAAATTCCTTTGGTATAGTTTTGAGAGTAGTGCTTACTTTAAGAGCTTAAGAAAAAAAAAAGAGAATAAAAAGATAATTAAGTATGTGTGGGTAAAATCTACAGGTTTCAGTTCTGAGAAAGGAGCATCTAAACTGGTATTAGAACATCTAATAATGCCAAACATACTTGAAAAGGAGCCAAATACCCTCAGAAAACCCAGGCACTCAAACAAGTAACACTAAGAGCACAAAAATCAAGAACAGAAAGATCTATGACCAAGTTGCCAAATAACCTCAAATACTGATAATTTGGGGGGTTGAGTGCTTATTCCCCTTCCACTGAACCCTATGCATCCTTTCTAATTACTTTTTAAAGAAGTTTTTAATGCTCTATAATGTAATTTAATGTAGTGTCATACATTTACTGTACTGTAAACAGTGTTAAATGACCACTTGGAAGGAAATCTGTCATGCTCTGATGACCCTGAGCTCTGGGATGAATCTCCTTGGGCAGGGAGGTTGGACCAGATGACCCACTGTGGTTCCTTCTGACCTTACCCACTCTGTGATTCTGTGATCCACCTTTATCAAACAAAACATGTGGGAAAAGTCTGGTTCTCGTGACCCAGTTCAATTTACATGATCTTCCACATTTAACTACATTATAACCTGACAAAGTAAAGCTAATTTACTTGTATGCTTTTGAAAATGGAAGAAAATTTGCTTCTACAGTCCTTAACTACAGATTCTTGACTTCCAGGGAAATCCCCTCAGTCAGAGATTGATCTGCTCTCATATTTGTCAAAATAGTAATAATTGGTAGAACAAAGCATTTGTTCTTTGGCTGAAAAGGTAGGAATCTGTGTCATAAATTCAGCAAATTTTCAGCTGTGAAGGACTGCATGTCTCCAAACAGGTTCCCGTGTGACTTAACATGTCAGCTACAAAAAAATCAAAGCACAAGTTTTTCACCTAAATGGGGGGAAAAAAAATCTCTTGGTAAAAAGTAAATCTTCCCTAGATATTTCAAAGCCATAACCTTCAAGGTTCAAGTCCTCCTATGGTTCATTATGAATTTTACAACAAAACAAACCTTGTCAACAAAACACTAATTTCTTGGAATATGATGACTTGTCAAAATGTTTTACAAACACATGTCAACCTTGATAAGGGACACCAGGAATCTGTCAAACTCGGTGATTCAGGAATGTGGACTACCTGGTCCCACACCTCTGATGCACCTTAACGTGTCGACAGCTGGGAGGTCAAGATATTTTTTATTTTAATTAATACGTAATCTGCAGCTCTGAGAATCAGGCAACAAAATACCCACAACTGTTTTGTTTCCACAACTGAAAGACAGCAAGTAAGAACCTGAAAGGTTGGGAAAAAGGGGTTATAAAAGGGAATGAATGACTGTGTGATGATCCTGCGCCAATTCTGGAAGCCACAGAAGCCTACTGCATAGAAAAAGATTTCTCATGACTTTCTGCTGATGGATTTCAAGAGAAATTAATGAAGCTTTTTCATTCCATGTTTGCTAAAACTTTTTTTTAGAGAAAATGCAGGTTTGGTTTTTTTTTTCAAATAGGAATAAAAACTAATTTTGAAGTGTTGCTGTTTCCTGCAAAAAGGGAAATGCAAAAGTGGACCCAATGTAATCTTTACTCTTACAAAATTCCTGATAACAACTAGACTTTTGTTTAAATTAGAAGTGCAACACTAATTGCCTTAAAACTAGACATATTTTAGAAGGTGCATTTCACATCATTCACATTTAATTAATTTTGAAGCAAACCCCTCCATTTATTTCTCTTTAACTCAGCTGCTGTCAGTGAGTTGTCTTTTTAAAACAACAGCAACACATAGCCAGCTTAGAAATTAAATATACCATTGCTTCTGTCAGCAAACTTAGGGACTTACTGAAAACACACAGAATTTAATCCCTAATGGAAAAATAATAGTCATTTATTTGAATACCTTGTTTGTCGTCTTTCTTTCCATCTTGTAACAGGGCAGAGTTATCAGGTATCTCTTCAGCTGATGACTTCTTAAAGAAAGAAGATCTGTTTATTTATAATGATTGGTATAGTTCACACCTTTCCACAGTCAAATATTTAAGAATACTAATCAACATAAATAATGGTGACATTTGCCTTTGCACCATGATTTGCTTTGTCAGGTAAAAAATCATAAAGGACCTACAGAAAGACAGTGTAAATCTGCTTTTCAAAGTACAGCAGTTACACACCTGAAATTAGTTAGAGAAGCACTTCAACAGTAAATCACAAGGAGGTAAGGACTATATGTAAGGAGAGACTTCTCCCAACAGAGCCACATGTAACACCTGTGTTTAAGGTCGATGAAACCTTCTCCAGCTCCTTCACAAAAGTCAGTCTCCATGGGAAAAGTCTCCCTAGCCAAAACTCCAGCCATACTGCAGAGCCTGGTGGTTATGCTTTAAAGGCTTCTGGCTGATGTGGCTGATCCTTGAACTACTCTTTTATTTCAACATGCAGTCCTTGAGATAGGAAAAAAAATTTTACTAGTACATCTGTTGGAGGTCCATTCAGGCCTCCGATAGGAAAACAGAGAACTTCCCAGTCTCATTCCTTAACTTTCTGTTACTTCAGCAACTGTGAATCCTGCAAGAAGGAAACAGGAACAAATTCTACCTACATTATCTGTAAGAACAAGGATACACTCTGCAACCAAAAAAACAATAAAGAAAATGTCAGAAACCCTAAATTTCTCTAAATATTAAGTGATGCTGGATTTTCCCCAAGGAGCATGGAAGAGGTATGACCTTAAAATGTACTAAAATAAACTGGGCCTAAACAAATTAATTGAGAAACCTAGATATTGTAGGCATTTTTAAAAGACCACAAAAATCTCAAGTCAGTAGTTCAAAAAGGAAAACTCCCAGATTAAAGGTCTGTTAGATCTGTCTTATAAAGTTTCTGAGAAATGGGATACTCTAATACTACTGAGAAAGCAACACAGCAAAAATACGGCTTGAAGACTCTGAAAATGTATGAGTAAAAGATTTCACATCCATAGCTAGCCTTGACACTCTCAAGTGAAGAGCATGAGACTAAAGACCTGAGTCAGTGCATGCTTTAACCAATGGAATGACTTTCACAAATATCAATGAACTTTCGGAGGGAGTTCAGAGTAACTCCAACCAGTCATTTTGTGTGTATAGTGTGAAATTTCATCTCTTTAAGCTTTTGGCAGTGAGAAAGCTTGTAAAAAAGAACCAAAAGAGAGTGGTAGATAAAAACTTGAGAAAAAAAATTGAGAAGACAAAACTTCCTTGGTAAACAAAGATCAGTCACCCTTGTCCTTCTCAAGCATAATATCAGCAGTCTTGCTGTGTTTTGTAGTTCAACAAAGCCTAGCATCCAGGTGACATGTCTCCTGCCATTATTTTCTTTATGGATGCATTCAAGAACTGTTTCTGTTTTACTGCAGTACTGTAGCTCAGCAGTCACAATAAAAATGGCCTTCTGAAATTAAATTAATGAATGGGTAATAGGTGGAAAGAGACAAAGTCACGGAGATAATGCGTAACAGATTGCACTGATAATATAATATTTTTATTGTAGTGATTAAGTCTCTAAACTATAATTCCTCAATGAGCCAAGATACAAATTATATTGCAACAGTGAACTACTGCACTTCCCACAGAGTGAGATGAATGGGAGATGAATTACTGACCTTCCAAATGATACTCGTTCAGTTTATTAATTCTGAACATAAAAACATAAGTTGAACAGAAAAAAAATCATATCAAAATGATTCTCAAATCAGTTTTGAGAAGAGATTTTAAAGTCCATTAATCTTAGACAACATAAACTGAAGCTTTTAATTATGAGTATTAAAAAAAATTATATATCTGTTTATATTTTAATTAAAATTTAATTCTCTATTATACCTATATCTTCTTTTATACATTAGGTTGCAAGCCATTTATAAGGTCATAAGGAAGGGACTAGGCTGTTCTGGCAAAGGACCTGCCTACACTGCCAACATACCAGCAGCCTGCACTACCAGGCCAGCAGCACTGCTTTCAAAACCCAGTGTGACTGCTGTGCTTTGGCTGAGCTGCTGCAAGATGAGCAACTCCTCCCAGGGATACTGCATATATTCTTAACAGTTCTACACTGGATGCTCAAAAGGTTGGCTGCAGCACTGCCCAAAGTGAACACTGGACTCAACTGAGGCTTAGAATCATGTTTGGTGATAGCACTACCAAGATGGATTTGATGAGGCAGCAGCTGGGTTCCGATCCAGGAACTCCCCAGAGCAAGGCATTAGAAGGAAATAACTGGAGAACAGCCTTGCTGAGCTGCCATGACATTCCATTACTTTAAACTTAGAAGTAGTGCCAGAAGAGTTGGTTCCTGCAATCAGTCTATCATTTGATTAACTACCTTAAATACTAAACCCTTAAATCCCACAGCATATATATTCAGAGTTGCAATATTCAGGCACAACTTAGTGGCCATGATTAGTTCACCTTCATATGGTCTTCAAAGTTTCTCGTATCAGTCTTCATGGAATCATAGAATGGTTGGGGTTGCAAGACACCTCTGTACATCCAGTCCAAACCCCTTGCTCCTTTCAACTGAACCTACTGTGTTCAGCTCTGAGCCCCTCACCCAGAGGGGCACTGGAGCATGTCAAAAGAAGAACAGTGGAGCTGGTGGAGGGTCTGGAGCACAAGTCTTATGAGGAGCAGCTAAGGCAGCTGTGGTTGTTTAGCCTGGAGAAAAGGAAGGTCAAGGGAGACCTTACTGCCCTCTACAAAGGAAGCAGTGCTGGATTAACAGAGTTGATGACCTTGGAAATCTTTTCCAAACTCAGTGATTTTATGATTCTGGCTCTGTGTCAGATGCTTCACATTTTCAATCAATTCAGACTCAGGAGACTGCTCAGGACACCTGAGCACTGCCTGTGTGCCATACTGTCCCTCCTGCAGCACGGGCTCTGCCACTCACCACTGGTTCCCAACACTGGGGGCCAAACACAGCCCTGCAGGACACGAGCAGGTAAAGTCTACTTCTCTGCAGACTCCAACACTGCCCAAGTCCCTCAGTGACTACTGTGAACTCTTGTGTGGGAGTATCTTTTGAAAAGCCTGTCAGCCCTTTCCACACACCAAAGAAATGGCTGAGAGAAGGGTTTCAGATGGCTTAATGGGAGGCCTGGAGACTCCTAAAGTCCTCTCAGAGACTTGCAGTTCTGCTGCTACACAGAACACAGTCACTGTGAAGCTGGTCTATTCCTCTCCACTCTGCAAGGTAAGCACCCTGCTTAGGCCTTCTCACCTCTGTCCGACTGAATTCCCGGGTCTGCTGATTGCCTGGCAATGGCTCAGAATAAGAATCAAACAGGCCACAGTCACGCACGGGCTTCAAAGAAGCTGCAGAGGAAAGAAAAAGAAAGGAAAAAGGACCAAAACAAAAAAATGAAATGAAACAAAACAACCAAACAAAAAACCAAACAAACCCACAGAGACACATCAAGTCTTTGGTTAATACACACTTCTTAAAAACCTCCTTAAAAACCTATTATTTTGCCCTCACTTCTACATATCAGACCTGATCTTTAAGATGTGGAATGAAAAACATCATGAAGAAAATCTTTCTATCTTGCATTTTAAATTAGTCAACGTCATGAAACATCTCATTTCTGTTGTAGAAATAATTGTGAAATTTTGAAGATACTATTTTTAGTAAATATAAAGTGCCAAACACTGTTTATGTGCACTTTTCCTCCTTCCAATCCAGTATCAGCTTAGTTGCTCTTAGAGTAGATACCTTGCTCTCCTAGGAATGTTAGGGGTATTTAGAAAACCTTCAGCTGCAGTTTTGACTTTCTGAAGACTGAAAAGTATAGTGGAATTTACACTATACACTAAAATTGAAGGCCAACAGAAAAGAAGGATTCTAAACACAGTGGATGTTGTAGTATAAAACATCTTTAACCAAACAACATTGGGAGTGAGGGGGGAAGAAAAGGAAAATCAACTCCAGCTTCTCAAAGGACTATTCACAACAAGCTACCTTATATCTCACAAACTCAGGTCCTTCTCCTGATATCACTCTGGGATTAGTCTCTCTGAGACAAATCTGTCTTAATAGCTGGAAAACACCTTTTTAAAAGATCAATATATCAAAAGGTAGAATAACCACATTTCTATTTTTTGGCTAGCATCTATTTTATCTCAATAAATTAAGCTCTTGGAAATCAATCCTAATTTACAATGCCATGGTTTACGTACAGGGCAAATAGCTTTCCAGATTCTGCAAATTAATTTTAATAAAAACTTTCTGAAAGCAAGGTGGTGGGTCAAATTGTCAATGGAGCTATGCCAGGATAACATTTGGACTTGTGCTTGTAGTTTATACTACAAATCATAAAACTAGAAAGATTAATGCATTCTTAAATGCTCTTTCGCTCCAAATCATTTTATTTGAAGCTTTAACAACACTCTTATCAGATGCTCTGAAACTAATACAACAATCTAATGAAGAACAGTTTCCAGTAATCTTCACTGGGTTCCTAACAAGCCAAAAAAAAATTTTTTTTTGAAAAAAATTACAAATTTCACAGAAATCAAATTATGAAAACATAAAAACACAAGGTTTCTGTTGAAAATTTCTTTTGACATTTTAGGTAATTGTATGAGGCACTTACTTACTTATCAATGCTTTTATTTCATAAGCAACACAACTAGGGCTCTATGCTTTCTTGTGATTCACAGTGATACAATGTGTTGAGATGGTCTACTTTTCATTAATGCAAGACTTTCAAAAGATAGACTTCTGAATCCTGACTAGGTAGGAGAATAAGCACAAGATATTTTCAGATCTTCAAGTTAACCAGAATTAGTATATTAGCTGAGGTATTTACAGTACCCACAAAAAATTAGTCCTTTCACTTCTTCCATGAAGATCAGCTTGAAATGCTTGGTTTCATGCATGCAACACCAGAAAACAATAATCATCTAAGAAAATGGTATGTCTAAGTGCTGAAAGGGACAAACAGGAGAAAAGAGGACTCCCAGGGAACAGCTTACCATTCTATTCCTCCCATTGACACAATGATTCCCTACTGCTAGAGAGAGTTATTTCCATTGCAGTTTTACCCAGAAAGGCTTAATGGGACGACACATCAAGAAGAACCTGTACAATTGAGCTTAAAAGCCAATTTATCATGAGACTAGGCATGAGAGTAGTGAACAAAGTTGTGGTCCTGGAGGGAAAAGGGTAGTTGTAATTATGACAAGGGAATGTAATTAGAGAAACTAAAAGTGATGAAGACTTGGAAGTGCAGGTTTTCCAGAAGCTTATTGCTTTGGATATGAAGATAGTGGATTACAGGGAACATGACTCCATCAGAAATTACTTGACAAATCTGATACAGGGTCAACATTCAATTTTCCTAACTGCAGCTTGATTTGTTCTCTTCCTGCCTTTTAATATATTCAGTGTCATCAAATTTAATGGAGATTTTATTAGGTCTTAAATATTATCCCTTAGCACTGTAATTATCATCTGTGATTAATCCTCCTTGCCCTAGAGAGGCACGCATGTGTTTAAGATGGAACAGTATACATTTCAATGTTCATTTATAATTAAAAGAGACATAACTGAAGAGAACAAATGAGAGGACAGGTCTCTCACTGCACATTGTTATGAGGTATGTTATATTTTGGATTAATTCACCCTTGTGCTACACAAACTGTTGTAATTCCCATCACTAGTGTAAAGTACTTATAAAAGAATCTGTGGATTACATGAAATGAATTACAAAAAACTTCAACCTTTGATACAACCAGTTACTGCATCTAACAAATACATTAGCACATTAAGTTCTAAAGCAGTCCAGTATCATTTTCAACAAATCTTCAAGAGACAGATACTTAGAGGAGAAATTATCAAAAGAATTAAAAGCTGTATCATAGATTCACAAAATGGTTTGGATTGGAAGGGACCTTAAAGATCATTCTAGTTCCAATCCCATGCCATGGGCAGGAACTCCTCCCACTAGACCAGGTTGCTCAAAACTCCATCCAACCTGGCCTTGAACACTTCCAGGGGTGGGGGGGGGATCCACAGCTTCTCAGGGCAACCTGTTATGGTGACTCACTGCCCTCACAGTAAAGAATTTCTTCCTAAAACCTGATATAAACCTGTTCTCTTTCAGTTTAAAGCCATTGCTGGATTATCTTTGCTAAAGGTAATCATCTGCTGCTTTAACTGTAATGACACCTGAAGCACAGAGGAGCAAAGAGGCAGACACCGACAGGCAGGTTACTGCTACACTCTGCATCCCTACTCTTGTGCTCTGATACATTACTTCTTCAGCAATCAACAAAAAACACATGCCTTAAAAAGCAGCCAGAGAACCATTATACAGCACAGAACCCCACTCCAGGAAGGAAAGTGAACCTGTCTCACACAGATGCTGGATTTCTGAGATAGCTACAGGGACACGACCTGCCGCAGGAACATTACCTGCTTGGAGGTACTCAGGCAGCAGCGTCTCCGGCAGTGTCTCAGGCAACTGGTAACCATTCTTCCTCGCAACCACAAGGTGGAAAGCAGCACAAAACTCCGGGAGTGTCAGTGCCCCGTCACAATCCACATCGCTCAGCTCCCTGTAGATACAACAGGCACACGTTTTCCAAGCTGTTACCTCAGGGAAACATATGTGTGCCATCACAAGGGAGACAAAAATGCAACTCTGAGAAGGGATATTTTAACACAAGACAAGCATCTTTGTCATTTGCACTTGATCCTGACTTGCACATTGGTCTCAGGGAAGATGAGAAGCCAGCTAATTTTCTAATACTGAATTGCCACTTCTTTCTTTTTCAGTAAAGTACATTTTTTTATACATCATACCATTCAATATGATGGTATGCATATAGTAGAACATGACATACATAACTATACTTCTAGAATTAGAGTGTGATTAGGGTTGGAAGGGACCTTAAAGATCACCTAGCTCCACCCCCCAGCCACGGGCAGGGACACCTCCCACCAGACCAGGTTACTCAGAGCCCCATTCAGCCTGGTCTTGAATGCTTCCAGGGATGGGGAATACACCACTCTCTGGGCAACCTGTTCCAGTGCCTCACCACCCTCACAGTAAAGAATTTCTTCCTAATGTCTAATCTAAACCTACCCCTCTTTAGCTTATGGCCAATCCTCCTTGTCCTACCACTACATGCCCTTGTGACAAGTCCCTCTCCAGCCTTCTTGTGGACTATGCTTAGATACTGGAGGACTGCTAGAAGATCTCCCTGAAGCCTTCTCTTCTTCAGGCTGAACTCTCTCAGACTCTCTTCCTAGGAGAGCTGCTTCAGCCCTGTGATCAACTTAGTGGCCCTTCTCTGGACTTCATTCCAACAGATCCATGCCTTTCTTGTGTTGGGGACTGCAGAGTTGGATGTAGCACTCCAGCTGGGGTCTCACCGGAGCAGAGCAGAGGTGCAAAATCCCCTCACTCAACCTGCTGGTTATACCTTTTTGATGTAGCCCGGGATATGGTTGGCCTTCCAAGCTGCAAATACACATTCTTCCAAGAGTGAAATCAACCATTCAATGGTTGGAAGTACTTTTGGCCAATTCGTGCAGGATATTAAACCAGTTCAAGCAGGAAAAGTTCAATAGGTATTTCAGCAATGGTTACTTAGCACCACTGGCTAGTATTAAGAAAAGGGCTAAATTAATGCTCAGGATGAGTTTAAATATTATTGTTAGCTTCTCTCTAATTCTAGGACACTTCACAAATACTAAAGCTGGACTTTAGAAATTCAAGAACTCAATTTTATAAATTAACTCTTTGCAAGAATTGAGTCGTATTTTATCTTGAGCACATGGTCTAAATTTAACATAACTTCTTACTCTTTGAAAGTAACAAGCACTTTTCAAGCTGTTGAGCTTACAGTGACAAAGACCGAGACATCCCATGTGTTTAACACAGCAAGACAACCTGATAAATCACATTGTCACAAAATATACTTATCTACTAGAAAGGAATACTTTTCTTGAAATTCTGCACAGAAAACAAGTTGCATCAGCAATAAATATAAAATGTGTTTCGTTAACATATTGGGTTAATCCATTCTTTTTAAGTAATCTCAAATTCCAATATTCACTTCCCCCAACACTATGTTTCTTCAATTGTTTTTTTTATTTTCACAACTGACAATCCGCTTTGAAAAGATTCCAGACATATCCTTTGACCCTGACAGATGTTTAGGCTCTTGCAAGCTTTTTCTTCTCATCTCTCTTCATAAAAGCATATATAAAAATAAAACCTCTATCAGCACTTCTGATCCATGTTTAAAACTGTTTGTTCTTCCTATCAGAGATGCAAGGATGACACTGAATTACAAAGCACCATGTTGTTTATGAAAATATAACAGAATCCTTGTCAAATTTTATCATGTACAGTTCCATCCACAATTGTTTCTCAATAAGCTCATTAAAAGTAAGTGTACTGGTTCATTAGAAAAGCACTGATGAATTACACAGTTGTTTAATTAGGCCTCTGACAAAACAGAGAAAAACATAAAGCCATCAACACATCTAAAACATTCCAGAGGTGCTTCTCCTCCATGTCATTTCATGAAAAATGTCAGTTCTTTGAGATAATGATGCTGCTTACAATATCCTTAAGAACAGCTCTCAGTTATGTCGCTGTTCAAACCTTCCCAGTCCTGCTGAGTAGGCCAACATCTCTCCAGAAAACAAGTCTGTCAGGAAGATCAATGAGCACCCTGCTGCTTGGGCCTCAAAGTGATTCTGGAGATGAGAGAAATAATTATAACTGAAGGTACTTTTAAAATTTAACAAGAACTCTTGAATTCAGTGTCTTTTAAAAATCAGGATACACATCCCCAACACTATTACAGTACTTACCAGATGTGAGAAAGTTCTGGGATGGGCAGCTTTGATTTTGTGAAGAAATTCTTTGCTACGGAACCTGTTGGGAAAGCATGCTTTATCAGCCACTAGAAGTAAATTCTCCAAATTTTCATTTTTTTTACCAGGTCTGCTGTGCCAGAAGCAGACTGTCAATTTACATCCAAGAGATACTCAGATTAACCAAATGCTAATATAGCTGTTGGACCATTTGTCTCCTGAATAAACGACAGAGGAAGCCAGACAGAACTGTTGACCTCATTTCTCCATTCCCAGCATACGGGAAAAATCATAAATAAAGGAAAATCTGCTTTAGTACTAGTAATCGTAACCAGCTTAATTAGTATGTCACCAGTGATGAAATAATAGACACAAACAGCCCTGCTTCACCCAGAAGTCATGTGCATGGCAGTGCAGTGCTGTAGCATCTGCACTGCTCTCCCAAGATGCTGTTTCAACCATGACTCTTCCATGCCATGGCTCAAATTTTACTTTGGAGGAGGGAGGGAGGGAAGAAAGAAAAAAAAATAAACCCCAGAAGATTCAGATAGCACAAAGCTCCTGTCCTACTGCAGGCACCCTCACTCACCCTGCCATGCTTCTCATGCCCTTCTCATACTTCTTGTAGTTAACAAATCCACTTTTTCAGCATCCCATATGCACAGGCTCTCAGGGGCACCCTGAAAGTCCTTCCTGGGTATAGGCTTACAAAACATAAGGAAACAAAGTACAGACTTACAAGACTATAGTCCTCTTCCCCTTGGACAACCATCAAGGGGAAGAACTAACACTGAACTACTGTTTGTACTTTGAAGCAAACTGCTTGAAGGAGACTTAACTGAGGCTAGATCCAAGCCTCCTGAACCTGTGATACATCAGGGCCTCCTGAGCCCTACTGATACAGCAGGGCTCATTAAAACTTCCTCAGTTAAAACCTGTGACATCTTCCTCACACACCAGTTGTTGGTACCCAGCAGTGACTCCTCTTGCCAGCAGCCTGATCCTTCTATTCAAAATAGAAATGCAATCTCAATATGCTCTTAACAATACTTCCACCGTGCATGCGCTCTCCAGGATTGGTTTTTAATTACCTAAAGATCAAAATCTCAGCCCCTCAGAGCCATAAACCTCAGGCTTGAACATAGAGGACAGTTGACTGCATGCTTCACTGTCATCACATAGACACTACCACAGTTCCACTGGGAAAGCAAGCACAACCCTCAGGCGTGTTTCAACTCAATATACACTGCAGGTGTGATCCACAAATATAGTGCATCAAATACAGAAAGCTCATTTTAATTTTTACCAAACCACTAACACTTCTCCTTTATGTGTAATTATATCTCTAAAATCATGATATTTAGGGAAAAAAATGCAATGGCCACAGTAATGGTTTGCTCTTTGAGTAGTCTGCCTTCAAAAAGGAAACACAACCAATTTATAAACCCACTGCCAGAGAGAAAAAAGAATTTATTTACTTAACACTTCTCACCTCCCAGACTGGTCCCCCTACCTGACATGCACTGTGTTTGGTAAAAATTACCTGAAATAAAGGCGTTCAGGTCGGGCTGCAGGGACCTGAACTGGTTAATGTAGTAATCCCGCTGCTCCTCCGTTATCCTCCAAGGGTCATCTGAGTAGTGGGTGCTGCTATCCTGCTGCTCCCGCTCCACTGAAAGAGACTGAAGGGAGGGACACTGGCATCGGCCACAGGCAGGAGACCAGAATGCCACTGGGAACCTCAAGAAACCAGATTCATACTCTTCTATTCATAGACACAAGTTTTTAGAAGACAAGAAGCAGAAATGGCCATACTAATTACCATTCCGCTACTTACTTGTTAAAACTGAGGCTAGTATTCAAATGCAAGCCTGGATGATAATACTCTTTAAGAGTCAGGGCAAGAACGAACAACAATCAGGCTCCAATCAGCTCTAAACCCCTTTCTCTGACATATTTGTCGATTTCCTAAGAATCAAATGCAAAACATCAGTTCTGAAATACATCAAAAGATCCCCGAAACAGGCATCACCATAAAGTTGTAAATTAATTTTCATTTCAAAGTGCTACACAAATGCACCCAATTTCAACTCAAGCTAGCACAAATTATGTGACACTACCTGTAGATCTTTTCTGGAGGCTTGGATGACATTTCATTGTGGGTGTGAAGTGCTAAGCACTGAAGAAAAGGTAGAGCCTCTGAGTCTTACTTATTTAGGAAAATCTCTAGAAGAGCTTTGCCCTTCCTTAGGGCAAACTACCTGTTTGCATAATAAATGCACAGCAGGCATATTGGAACATAGAAAGATCTGCTTTTGCAACCAGCAGGAAAACATAAGACCCATCTCACAAAAGCAAACAAATGCCCAGAAATTAATCTATTTTGTTTGTGATGCAATTTAACAACTGGGGAGAAAAACCAAAATACGAAGAATGTTAGGCCATAAATTCTTTGCAAGTGTTACAGACAGCATTCTAAATCAAGCAGGAACCTCATGTATGTTGATGAAAATGTTTTATTAATACTTACCTTTAGCAATTTAATTAATTGGATTATTTATTTTAATTTCTTCATCCCATCAGCTTTTTTTTCGTCGTATACTAAAAAAAGCACACTTCAGTCTCTACTCTAAAAACACTGTGGAGAACACTTTTCATTTTCAAAGTGAGAATTTTTCTGGTTTAGGTTTTTTTTTTAAATTTCTCTATTGTTTAATTAGCAGTAGTACTAAGGAAAAATGTGGAATGCATTACCCGTTTAGGAGTTGAACAGGTGAGTGAAGATTTGGCTCCGTAATTCCCTGATGATGGTCCATCTTGCTGGTGAGTAGAGTGCCTGACTTCATAAGGAACTACAGACATTTAAAGTAAGTATAGAAATGAAAGGATAATCAAAAAATTCTACTAGGCTAAAAGAAATAATTAAATACCTCAAGGCCAAGAATGTAGCTTATGAACATAGTATCAGAGCATCAGAATCCATTTTGTCAAGCATCTGCCCAGTGAACCTAATATCACAGTATCAAAGCCCATTTTCTCTTCTGCAACAAAATTCCACCCACATATTTGTCTTTCACGTTGCATCATTCTTCTCCATACATTACTGAGACACTGTCAGTTATATACCACTGGGTAACAGAAATTGCTGTTCATCATGTTGAAATACCTATTTATATAGTCTGTTTATGCATTTATATTTTTTATATACTTGTAGCCATATATAGCAGAAGAATGCACTACAAATAAGAAGAAATAATTCAATCAAGCTGCAAAAAAAATATGCTTTGACAATGCTATCAAATAGCAAATCACTTTTTCCACATACTCTTCCTCTCCCTTCCCCATCTTCTGTTGAGAATCAAAGTACGTGAATTGCCACTTCACCAATTTGGAGTAAAGTTAGTGAGCAAAAGTAACAATTACTTCTTTTGCTAAAATAAGTTGCTTAGGCTCCACCACAGCAAATATGGTAAGTGGTGACACAACTGCATGTTTAGAAACGATGTTTTAAAAATAGGGCAAGTATGCAAACAAAAAGACATCTCACTTGCAAACCTTGCAGACCTGAGAACTTCTGCTGTCATTGTATTTAAAATTTACCAAAAAGACAGTCTGCATTAGAGAGTCAGAACCTTAAAGACTCATAATGAAAAAGGAGACCAAGAAATCTTAAAAAAATTGAGCTCAGGAAGACCTTAAAAATTACACCGTAACTCTCTTGTTTTCCTAAGTAGTCTTATCCTGTATGGGTACCTATTTTTATTCCTATACAAGCAACTACTAATTTCAGAACAAAAAAAAAAAAAAAAAAGAGGCAGGAAAGTGGGAAACATACAGACAGTCCTTGGAGGGGACTTAAGCATAAGGCCTCAATGCTGTGTTTGCTAGCATGAAAAACTTCCAAAACTATCAAGAAAAATATATATAGACATGGTTGCAGTGCAAAAGGCTGCCATTCAAGACATGCTGTCCAGTTTTAGGGTCAGACTTGCAGTATAGCCCAGCCCAGCCTTGTGGTACAGCACTTCCCACACATACACTACACAAAAACTTCCAGACCTGCCCTGTGGAGTGCTCTTCGGGAAACTGGAAGGGTCTTAATCTTAAAAGGTCAGGAAGAGTCAGTAGGTCTTGCACTAAACTGGCATTTGGGACAGCAAGGTTGAATAGCTCTGTTTTTTCACTGATGTATAATATAAACAAGGGCAGAAGCTGAAGGATTAGCACGATCCACTCTTCACTCACTGCAAACACATTAACCTAAAGCAGGAGGGATGAGGGAGGGTCAGTATCCACCAAAGCCTACTACTGCCACCAACTTGGTCACTGTATGTTGCAATTATGAGAGCACATATGCCTTACTATTAATAGGAGCTTCTAAAGACATAGTTAAAATGGTTTCTGCCCCATTACCCTCTTCTTACGTTTTGCCATCCCCTCTAATGGCAGGAAGACGAAGGACTGAGCAACTAAGCAATGCCTTTTGTCTGTATTGCCTAAGTTACACTGGTTTTATATTCATGTCCTATTGTTATTTCTGTTACAAAACCAGAGACATTATTATCCTTTACTGCAATGGAAGGTTCACTTTCAGTCTGAAAATTAGTATGTGGCTATGGAAATCGGGTTTTCTTTCCCTCTAATGAATCCAAAAGCACCGTGCACTCTGACAATACTTTCAAGCTCTCTGCCACTGGGATACATTGTACGTAGTCTTGTCAGAGACCAGACGTTAGCATTTGTGAGAAGTCACACATATCTAATTTAAGGAAACAGGAAGACAGGATTGAACAGCCAAAATAAGTTGATCAAATAATTTTCTAAAACACGAGTCTAATTAAATTTTAAAATCATTAGGCTGATTGTCAATTGCACTTGGAATTTGGATACTTCTGATAAAGAAAAAAAAAAAAGGCAAAAGAGAATTGAACAGAGTGTGCATCGCAGTTTTTATCCTACCTCCATGCTGCTGCTCCAGACCACTTCTTGCTTTACCATATCCGTAACTTAGGGGTATTCTCTGGTAAGTAGATGGAGAAGCAGGAGGTGAGCAGATTGGAGACATTGGAGGAGACTTGGGTTCCTATTTCGAGAACACACCAACACAAAATACAATTCTGAGATGTAAGAAACAAGCAGATGCAGCTGCACAGCAATCCAAATGCGTACAGTATGACGGACAAAGAAGAGGCAAATGCTGTGCCATTCTCAGGCCCTTTATTTCCAAGAAAAGGCAGTTTAAAATAGAAAAGACAGACTGTGGTACTGAGTCTTCTAAGAGTAAAGCATGGTAGTGCCATAGCAAAGCTTTACAATGACCAGCTCAAGATATTTTAATTCCAAAGACGCCTGAAGAAGTACATGTAGAAGGCTCAACGTGAGTGGGCATCTTTGAATTTATGTATTTAGTTACTGTGAGTGCATTCATTGTGCAGATCACTTTTCATATAAAAAATACACAAAAAATTTAAAATAAATATCTGAATAGGTAATTTAAACACTCTGTGGATCTGTAGGTATCACTGGGTAACTACCAGTGACTGGGTAACTAAAGCTTTCTCCTTCCTTTGACTTACTGAGATTGCTTGAGAAGAGGATGTAATCCTGAAAGAGTTTACTGAATGAAGAGGAAGATAAAACAAACACAGATAATACACATGGAGCCAGGGGTTTGAGGGCAGAGTTCTGCTTCAGTGTCAGTACACACAAACACATAGGCATACATGTTGTTCTTCTTCCTCATCCTGTTATTCCACCTGTGTATCTTGTCATCAGCTCACTCCTGCTGGCTGACCTCAGGGAACACTGTCACTGACGCCAACACACTGGGTGGTAAATGTGTGTGCACGTTTCTGGAAGATAAAGTGCTTCCACCAGACACTTACAACATGACCTGATATGGTACCAGAGGAGAAAGTGCTGGGCCCGGGAAAATTATGCAAATCAATATTTATGAAAATTATGCAGCACTGTGAAGCTGCTTGTACCTGAAAAAGTGCTCTCAACTCTGCCAAATACAGGCAATACAAATCTCTCTTGGACAGCTTTATTAAACCAGCAACTCAGAACAACAGATTCTGGGAAAATGTTTCACTGAGGACAAAAGAAAAGCAGATTTCTTCTGGACTATTCCTTGGGGACATTAGAATGAAAGAAAACCTGTGGCCTTATCCCACCAAGAAATAGTGGCTCATGATTCAACACTTCTTCTCCAATTGAGTATTTCTGTAATGACTAAGGACTGTACTGGTCATGGAGTATCACTCGATTTCCTGTTCTGTTTCACAGACAGACTTCTATTTGCTGCTCCTCCCTGGTCCTCTCCAAGAAACAGTGCTGGATTAAGTAGGAGAACAACACTGAAAGAATTTACACAGAATATTTACAGGGTTGACAGGTTTATACAAGCTCATATAGAGAATTTTCTTCAGGGAAATAACTGGGATGCATCAAAACCAGAACACAGACACCATGCTGGTTATTTGCACATAAGGAGTTCATCTCCTGTCTAGTATTCCAAAAGTGGTGAAAAACAAAGTAAGTGTAACCATATACAGGACTTGACCCAAAAGGAGGATGCATAATGATATATCGGCCTGAAAAAGACAAGCCTGTTACCTGTTTGTCCCCTTCATCTGTTCTTTTGTAGGAATTTTTTTCCAAAGTTGCATGTGGAACCTGAAATTTAACTCCATGGAGTTCTGCTGGAGTCCCATAACGTACTTCAGTGTCATTTTTCAGCGCCATAAATCGTGGCAGAGGCAATTCTTTATTAAAAGAGAGAAAAATTCAACTGAGACTACAGAACATTAGAAACACTTAAAGCAGTATTGTCTTGCAAAACCAATAAAAAGACTAGTATTTATATTTTCTAACATTTCTAAATTTGGAACTCCTTTGATTATTTTGTCTTAATAAAAATGTGAATGTTACACAAAGCTACATTCTTAATGTGTAGCTTAATATATAATCTCTTTATGCAAAGAGAAAGAAGTAAGCCTTGTGCACATTACTAAAGCAAGCAGCAAACTCATTTCCTGCCTTCAAAACCTTGCCTTGTAATGAAAAGAATAGTTTCCGACAGAAACTGTGGGACTGATGAATTAATCAGTCAGGATCACAGAATCCTCAACACTGCCATCATGAAAGGAACAAATTAAAAATGGTAGGGTTCAGAGATCACACCAAGGCCTAGTGAGACGACCGTGTCAAAAGGTCCCATGTTGTGTCTGCTGTGCAGAGCAGGAGAGTGACACTTTGTCACTCTTTAAGACAATTCCTAATTATTCTGAAGAAACACCATTTATTTTTGTTCACAGTCCTCCTGAAAGATCAATAAAATTAAAATTACAGAAAGCCCAAAACCAAGCAAAGCCATTCATCACCTCTGTAATCATTTACACCTACAGCTACTAGCAGGAAGAGAAAGAAATCAGTTGGAGTTTGGTACATGTTACTCACCCTGCTCTAAAGGCACTCATACATTTTTAGAGAAAATGTAATTAGCACTGGAAGCATTTTTACTGAAATTGTACTGAAAAGTAAGCAGGATATCAGTACAAAGACTGCAAGTACCCCTTTTCACTCAAATTTGTGGATTGTTTGCAGATGCTGGACTTGTAAAACAGTAAATCTCAGTTCAGGTTTCTAATTTAGTTGGGGGGGGGAAATTTTTGGGTTTTGTTTTTTTGGGGTTTTTGTTAATTAACATCCTTAAAAAACAATGCTTAAAAAACAATGAAATAAGAGAGCGCACAAGATGCATGTAAGGAAAACTGACAGACAAATCCAGTCTGCCCCTCTTCACCCTTGGTTTAAACTCCTGTTCCAGCAAGGCAGTGAACCAAACTACACCAGCTGCATCTGATCCCCTCCACTTGGTCGGCAACTCTGCACTGCAGGAGCTCAGCTCACACAGGTCTGCATATGCTTGCCATTCTGCCCTTCCCTCCTTGGGATGCAGCAGGCCTGGGAACCCCCTCCCTGCACCTTGTAATGAACGTGAATTTTACATTTCTCTGCCTTTACCAGGGAAAGCAGAGCAGAAACTGTGCTGGGAGCAGTGATCTGATTGCAAGGCTGGGGGTAGGTCCTGCATTTCTGACCATCTCTCTCATCTTGAACCAGCTGCATCCCTCCTTCAGTAGGATGGTGGCACACCCTCTTGTCCAGAGCACAGACTCAGGGCACGGTTTGAACACCTGCCTGGGATTTGGGAGCTGAGGATGCAAACCTGTTCAAACTCAAGCAAACAGCCACCTTGCTTGACACCTGAGCCCTGCTGAGGTAGAGCATATGTCACCAAGGTAAGAACATGAAGTTCCTTCCATTTAGTTGCTATCAAGGTTTTGCAGCTAAAAGGGTCCTGCTTTGTCTCTTCATCACTTGAGTTTGATAAGCCTCTTTCAAGAAGAGGTCTTCTCCATCAAAAATGGTACATTTAATATTATTGCCAATTTATTGGGAAGAAAAAAAGTGTTTTAAAATACACTTAATACACGTTTTCATATCTACTCAAACAAAGAAATATGACTTTGTCACCATTACCCATTTATTTCAGCAAGATTATTTGCTAAAACAGATGAATGTTACAAGCTGCCCTCCACAGAGGGATCCCTTGACCTGCCCACGTCCCCCACAATATGCCTCCACCCAAAGCAGCTATCTGCTCTCACTCTGGACAGCTGTCAAGATTAGAAGCTGAAGGTAAGAGAGAAATGCATCTCTAGCACCGATCAGCTGTCATTCGTACCCTTCCTTTGTACTGCCTTCTCCAGAGGGGGATGCCCTTTCAGCTCCGCCATACATGTAAATTCACTGCAATTTTCTACCAGTCACTTAGAGCATGTAACATTGCCTTCTACTCTCTCTGCTCCTTAAAACTGTTCATAGACACGTAATAAAAAGTTGGAGAGCTGACAAGCATTAAAGAAAGTGAGAAACAACTGCACAGTGCTGCAAGCAAAATTTGCTACTTACCATTCTTAATGCTCTCAATCCGTACTGGGAACCCTGACTGTGCTGCTGCAATTAACTTCAAAGCAATATAAAATTGAGCAGGACCAAAATAACCCACACGCTTGGCTCCACAAACTTCTGTAATCTAAGAGAGAAGAGACATATTGTTGGTTAAATGCATTTCACACTTCCAGGGAATGTCAACATCTCTACATAAACAAGGGAAAAAACTCTTGAAAAAGACAAAATGCTTGTTGTATTTGAAGTTTTCTGCTAAGCATATTTGTTTCAACTCAGGACATTAGTATACCAGGGACAGGATAGTAGCTGTTACGCTTTTCAGGAGCACTGCTGGGTAATGCTGCTATCCTAAAACAAGTTTTGGGGTTTTATACTATGTAAGATTTTAACAGTAGGAGAAATGATAACTTCTTAAGTATACTCTCCAGTAAAACATTTCCACTGCAGATGCTATGGTATCTTTAGAAAACTGTGCTTAATATTAGCCCTTACAACAACAATTTAGACTATTACTGTAACTGGAACATAAGCACAACATAAGAAATATCCCAGCACACCACTCCAACAAACACTTTTTTGTGCTAAAAATTAACATGATCTGAAGTTTAACTGGAGTTTAACTTCTATGTATACTTCATTACTTGCTTCTCTCAGCCACCTCTATGAGCAAACAGCTCCATGTTCACACGCTCAAACAACAGCTAAACAAACAACCACTATCAACAGGTTTAAAGCACAGGCACCAGTTCTCCCATGCCTAGAGCTCCCAGATGTTCACAAACAAATCTCAGACAGGCACTGAGGTTAGAACAAAACCCCATTTGCCTCAGACACAAAGGGAAGGCTCAAATTGTTTTCCTGAAAATACATCTAGATCAGCAATGTCTCCCAACTGGTAAGGTGCAGCCTGCATGCGCGACCATAGAACTGTCACGGTTCTCCCTGGGCAAGTGCTGTTCTCTCAAAAATGCTCCCAAGCTACAACAGCATGACAGAAAGTATTTCCATATTGTAAATAAGCAAATAGCACAAACGAACAGTCTATTTTTCCTGATTTCTTTTTATATGTATATATATACATACACACACACACAGAGGCAAAAGTCAGGTGAAACAATTACTGAAAAAACCCAAATGTTTTGGAATGGTAATTCTTACTAACCAAAGAAAACTGTCTTCAAGTAAACTCTTTCTTCCCTGGATGTGGTGTCTGCTTTGACTGAATGAGCTCTGGCTACCTTCTCTTCCTGCAAGTTTCAGACTTGATCACAAGATGCATCAAGCAGTTTTTTCTCTTACTGTTAGATGAAAAGGGAGATTGAGTCTCCTGTATAAGGGCAGATCCAATTAACCAGCAGCATTTGTCATTCTCTTTCCTCTACTAATTTTCTTTCTATAGTCACTCTGGCCTTTTTTTATTCCACCCTTCCCCTACCACTGGCCTTGCTTCTTTTATTTTCTGGTGGGAAATGCAAGGTACTTGGGATGCACCCTAAATGGACATTGCTGAAACTTAATTAAAAATGGGAGCACGCCCAGGGGGAAACGGTGGAGTGGAATTTCTTGGAAGAGAGCTGCACTCCATCCAGGGCATGGGAAGGAGCCCAGCACACTGCATCACCTCAGTGGACAGCATGGACAGCACTACAGAGACCCCAGCATTGCAGAGTGCTCCCCACCAGCACCAGAAGCAGCACTGTCCACTGTAGGGTTGGTCCTGCTGCATCAGTGGGTCCCCCAGCAGCAGCCTACCAGGGTCCCATGGCAGGAACTGACGCCACAGGTGGATGCCCATGGTGCCATGGGAGCAGCACCTGGCTGCCTGCCTAGAGCATGGGTGTACTGTCACAACAGCCTATCATAGCACCTTCCCTAGTTTGGGAGGTTTGGGCAGAACACCAGTACCCTTTCTGAGCTCCAAAGCAGATTTCTTCCCCTGGAAGCTCCCCCCCCTCCAGATTTCGTCCCTGGAAGCTCCTAATTCACACAGTCCTGCTGCACACACCACCTACTGCTGCACAGTTCCTTCCCAACCAGCAGCCCTGGATCTGCCTGATGCAGTGGTGTGGAGCACAGATGACTGGACTTGACCCCGGACATGGAACATGCACAGCAGCTGCAGTTGAGACTGTCTCCCGTGGGCAAAACAGCCCAGGCACAACAGATCCCAACAGCAGCATTACCTGATTTGTGCTTCCTTTTGCTGGCTGCTGGAAAAAGGTAATACTGAGCAACTGGGATTTTCAGATAGAGATTCGAGACTACTATCTTCCTAAAGAGAGTTAATTTTCCATATTTACTTATGATATATTTTCCACGTATCAGATACAGAGAGTTAATTTTCCTTGTAATTCCTATACTTTGAAATATGAAGGTTGTTGAATGCTGTAAATGCTCTGCTTGCTCCTCATATGGAAGCATGAACATTTTATTCTGAATAAAAACACTAAAAATTTTTATCAAGGGCACAACACCCCTCAAAAATACAGCGTTGTTTCTCAAGCACACTTACAGCCAACCAGCCTGAAACCACCTCTCTGTAATTTTGTTTTTTTGATGATAACAACAGGAAATAATTTTGTAGACACAAGTATCTCTGTTATTTGTGCAGCCAGATTCTGAGCTCTTTGTTAATGGTCCAGAGCAAAAAAAGGAAGCTGACAGAGTAGTCAAATTTATTACACAATCAATTGTATGTATTTATATAGATTAATTGCAGGTACAGGCATTTACTCTCATCAGGTTCCCTGTACAGTTAAAAGAGAGGGTCTTGCATTCCTTCCAGACAGCATTTTATACTATCTGGAGCAGGACCTTGCTTAGAGCTGCCAACAGGACCAGGCCTTCTCTCCAGCAACCACAGAGGCTGGTGGCAGATTAGCCTTTATCCAAAAGTAATTCCTCAGAACATGCTGCCTGCTCAAATTTCCACAGAAGATTAAACTGAACACTGCACTATTTTTTTGTTTCCTGGTTTTACCTTTCACTGGATCAGTGCTCATAGCTTTTTGATGGGCAGATTACATTTAGTGATATGCAATTCTGAAATTAGGCTAGTTTGTGCAATATACTATTAGGAATCTCCAAGATCCATTCAAATTAAAGGTACTGCATATCAATTTGATACAGTAATTTTTAATTTAAATCCTTTCCTGTTGTCAGTTTCGATTGCATACTTTTCAGCAAGTTAGCAAGGAAAGAACTGGTATTTTCTGCTCATGCACTGCTAAACAGACAGACATATAAATCAAAACAGCTTGCACACCTTGATACTTGAAGGGATTTTGATACAGAATTATTGATGGTCAATATATATTGCAATTTGTCCTTTAAGTCTTCAGCAGAAAATTGCAATCCTCTAGTTGCAGCCAAATATTGAAGAAAGTATTTGGAAATAATTAGAGAAAAGTATTGGAAATAAAGATGTTGCTTGCCAAATCTAACCTCAGGATGATAAACAGAATTAATCCAAAATCACACAATCACAGAATGGTTGGGGTTGGAAGGGACCTCTGAAGATCATCGTCTCATCTGCTTGCTACAGCTTCACCTAGAGGAGGTTGCACAGGATTGTGCCAAGGTGGGTTTCAAATATCTCTAGAGAGGGAGATGTTCCAGTTCTCTGTCATCCTCACAGTAAAGAAGTGTTTCCTCATATTCAGATGGAACTCTGTTTCACTTTGTGCCCGTTGCCCCTTGTCCTGTTACTGGGCACCACTGAGAAGACTGGCTCCATCCTCTTGACACCTACCCTTCAGATACTTACATACACAGATAAAATCCCCTCTCCATCTTCTCTTCTCCAGGCTAAACAGGCCCAGCTCGCTCAGTCTGTCCTCCTAACAGAAGCTCCAGTTTGCTAGTCATCTTTGGAGAAGTGATGCTTGACCACCAACCATCTGGACCCACCCCCTACCTTCTAGAGCTCCAACACATGGGATTCCTCCAAGCAGGTCCTTGAAGAGGCCAACACTTGTTCTCCTAAAATCCAGGGTTGGGATCCTACCTACTGCCCTGCTTCTTCCACACAGGATCCTGAACTCCACCAACTCATGGTCACTGCAGCCAAGGCTGTCCCCAACCTTCACATGCGAAACCAGTCCTTCTTTGTTTATTAGTACAAGGCCCAGCAGCACACCTCTCCTCTACCACCTGTATCAAAAAGTTACCACCACTGCTCTGCAGGAATCTCCTGGACTGCATGTGCCCAACTATGCTGTCCTTCCAGCAGATTCAGGGTGGTTGAAGAAGGTGGCAGACGAGAGCCCAGACTTGTGATCGTGGGGCTATTTGTAAGCAGCCTCACCGACTTCCTTTTCCTGATCATGTGGCCCACAGTAAACACCCACCCGCAACAGTGTCACCCACGTTAGCCTGCCCTCAGTTCTGACCCATATGCTCTCAACTTGTTCTTCATCCATAGCTCTGGACCGAGTTCAGTACATTCCAGCTGTTCTCTCACATTAAAACCAACTCCACCACCTCACCTTGCCGGCCTGTCTTTCCTATAAAATACACAGCCATCCATGACAGTATGCCAGTCACGGAAGATTGATCTGTTTTATAGTTTGAGAGGCAAGAACACTATGCGAGTCGACTGAGTTTACACTTACTGCAAGGTGTAACTGCTTATATGAAACAATTTCACAGGTCATTTGCCAATTGAGGGAAAAAGTTCATTTCACACAACATGTGAAAATAACATTTCTCAGTGAAGGATGAAAAACCACAGTGTCTAATCTTGTGTTTGTTGTCAGTCAGTTCTGGAACAGCAACTCCAATTATAATGGGATTTCAGCAGGTAACCTTAACACATATTCTGTACATGAATCACGCCACCTTCCCTATCAAGCATCCATAAGGAGGAGAGAAAGAGCACAATCTAGATGCCTGTACACCTTCTGGCAGGTCAGAAGTTTTTCTGTGGTTGTAAAAAAACCCAGAGTTTCAATTCATAAACCACTAAAGAGTGGCAGTTTCAAACTACTGTTCTCCATGCAAACTTTTAATAGAAAAGCTTCACATCTTCAGGTACTGAAGTACAAACCAGTTTTTTGTATTTTTTTATCCACTCCCTTCTCTGGCTGACAGTGTTATTTTCATAATTGCTCCTTGAAGACATCC